AATATTGCCTGTTGAATATTCTCCTCATTTCCAGCAACTTGTAGCTCAAAGACTTCCCAAGCTCTAAGCAGCATCTTTAATAACTCTTGATAGATTTCTCTTCCACGAGTCTAACCAGTGTCTCCTTGACCCCACATAAATTTTTAGCATTCATAACATCCTGGTATGAAAAAAACTTAGTCCCTAAATATCTATGACTAATCAATCCTTTAAGCAGCTTCATTGACTTCTGAACTCCCACAGCAGCACTTAATTTGACTATTAATTTAATTTACCATCATCACCTTTCACTGCTTGTATTTTTACTCGAAGCAGTGTACCCTACAGATGGTTCTCTAGAAATACAGGTACATGATTTCCCTTCACTTGAATTCTTCATTAGATTCAATGCATGACGTTAAAAACCAGTAGTATGCAGAAGGCTATAAAGGAAGATCAGTGATATGGTGAGGGCTGAAAAAATTGGATCAGATGGGTTTAAAGATGAATCAAGGAAGGAATGGGTGCAATACAGAAAGCAATTGAGTGATTTTATTCAGTCCTGTTGTTGCTGTTGAGATGAAAAGTAAGAACATAGATAAAACCTCACAGTAAAACCCCTCTCTCTTCTTGACTTACAGAGGTTTAAACTGTCACAAATGTGTGGTCACCTCGATCGATAAGAAACGTGGTTGATGCATACACACACAAAGATTCAAGAATCCTTGGTGACGTTAGTGACAGTCACATTCTTAAGTGAAAACAGTGCTTTCTTGTACTCTATATTAAATCTAACCACCACAGGGACTGGTCATTTACAGTCTCTTTTCATTAGCTAATGCCTCAGTGCCCCATGAGCGTGCTGGATTTTCATGACCTTAAATCACAGGCTGACTTGTGTATTCTGCTGTAGCAAGCTCAGTTGCTTTGCAGAAGCTAACATCTGGGCAAAGATTAGCAGAAATATCAGGTTCAATTAATATATTTTTTTAGACCCAACCCAAATTGTCACTGACAGAACTAGGCCTTAAATGCTATGTGGGAATTAGCTTTCCTAAAAATTTAGCAACAGAACAGACCTGAGCAGATGACCCACAGGTCATCTGTGAAATACCCAGCTTGGTGAAATCAGTATTTTAACTGTGACCCAAATAATGAAGTATATAGTGTTATCTGTTAATGAGTGCTGTACCACATAACAAGCAGAAGGTTATGCAAAACAAGGAGCAGCTTCTAAAGCAATAGAGATACCTATTATGAGTTCTAATCACTAAAGAAAACATCTTTTGTAAGGGTTTAAATATAACTCTCTTGCTTTTCAAATCTTCTGATGAGCTAGCTATTACTAATGTCGAAAGGTGATGCCTGTCAGCCAAGAACTACATTAGAGTCCATAATTGAATTTCAAGAGTTGTCAAGAGCAGGCTAATAAAATAGCTGCTACTAGAAGTGACGTATGAAGAAAAAAAAAAGTAAGTTCTGGTCTGGCAGGATGCAAAGTATGTTGTGTGGTTTCCCTGTGTCTTTTTAAATAATATGTTTGAGTTTTCGGGGCTACATTTGTCTGACATTCTTCTCTTGTATAATAATGATTCATTATACATAATTTATTCAAGGACTGTAACTCACCTCTAAGTGCCTATAAATATTACTGCAGCTAGACATTTGCATTGTAAAACAAATGCGTAACACTGGGATTTATGAAGGATCCTTATATGTTAGTTTCTTGACAGGAAAGATAGATTTTTTCTGAAGTAAAATATTGACCTTAAAATCATCTTAAAAATCTAGCACAGGAAACAATTAACAGCTCTTCCTTCCCTGTGTTGTTTAGGCAATTTGACAATTTTAGGGACGGCTGGGGGTCAAAGTATTCCTTGGCCATTCAAAATGGATACAACTATACTGTTGCTACATCAGTATTACTGGGAATGTTCCCATGGTTATGATGGTAATATATAATATCTACCCTCCCACTGCTTTGCAAAAGCATGAGCCATTTCTGAGTGGAGCTCTTAGAGGTGGTGGAAGGCAGACAGATGACATTACTATGAGGAACGGTGAACGAAAAACATAGTCCCAGCTGGAACAAAGGCTGCACATTGTGTCACTGCACCAAGTGGTGTTAATGAAAGGGTGTGGGATGCTGGCATCCTTTATTGCCCCTGGTAAATTTGTATGTGGATATGTAGCAATTCTTCTCAAAATGGGAGAAATCCAATGTAAGATGACAACATTCATCTAAGGCACCGAGTCATGAGAAGCTGGTACCATAGTGATGTCCTGACCTGTCACTCACCCTCAGAGTTGTTCAGTCCAGAAAAGAGACTGAAAGGAATATACTTTGTTCTCTTCCTGTGGTGACAAGAATTAGAAGTAATGAGCTTAAGTTGCAGGAAGGAACAGTTATGTCAAACAGTAGGAAAACATTTCTAATAGGATGGCAAAGAACTGTAATGGCACATCCAGGGAGGTTATGACATCTCCAGTGCTGCTCTCCAGCCAGACAAACTTTTAAGGACAGGTTAGAAAAATGGCTGTGAGAGATAACACAGGCATAATTACTGCAAGAATAATTCAGTGCCCATGCTCAGGTATCTCTCCAGCCTAACTGTGTACAGCCACCATGTCCTGCTCTGGCACCTGCCTACTTGTCCAGTTGCAGCCTCACATCAATAACAGCTTGTCCTAGCCAGTGAGAACTGCCACCAGCAGGACACAGGCCAGATGTTCCTGCTTAGGGCAGGATGGTGGACAAACTGGTCTTCCCAGGCCACTGCCAGCTCTGTTCTTCTGTGATTCCTCTATTTACTTCAATAAATCTTAATCCTTTTCCTTTGTTGATCCCCTGCTAAGGGTGAAGATTGCACTGAGTCTACTGATCATTAAATCCATGGCCCTCATTATGGTAGTTTTAGCAGTGTTCAGGCCATGTGATGAGCTGTAGGCCAAAAATACAGAAATGCCAGCAGTCTCCCCAAATAGTGCTGAATAAAGTGGAGATCAAGATTCCTCAACCCTCAGTTAAATATATAGTAGTTGTTCATGACACCAGGTACTGCAACAGGAAGGCTGTCCTGAATTAATTCTTCCTGCCTGCTATTCTCTGCCTGCTCTCTGGCACGTCATTTATTTTTTTCTCAGTGCTTTTGTTCCCCTTCTGCAGGATGGGATAAACAAACTTCCTAAATGCACCAGAACACTGTGAGAACAGACAGGATCAGGTACTACCTTTGCCCATATATAGTTTTACCATTAGCTGCTCTCAAAGGAAATATGAGCACAGCTACATTCTTGGTTTCATACTTATTTACACAGGGTTTTAGCTGAGCATGCACTTTAACACCATGTTCTCCTCATGTCTTAAATGGAATCCATCCTTTAACTCCAATTTGCTGCTGCTGTACAACCTAGAGAACAACAATAACAGTAATACCTGCAGATTAGCAAAATGTTTTATTATACTGAAATATACTGTACATAGATGACAGCCAATGGTTACGTTTTATCTGTCCCATCAAACCAAAATACCTTTATTGTATTTTCCATTGGCTATTAGAGATAATTTCATTATTAAAAATATATATATAATGCTTTCTATTTATTTTGTTCTATATTAGAAAGGCAAATTTGGGGATAGTGATATGGCTTAAATATATTAATATTTTCTCTCTGGGGAGCTTGTCTTCGCATCTGGATAGAACACATGCGGAATGAGTTCAGGAATCTCCTTCTACATGACAGCAGGTATCAACCCACATTAGATGTAAATTCAGCATGTTCAACCACAGTGCCTGAGCTGGGAAAGAAGAGGGGTAGTCTGGGATGCCTGTTCTACCACGTTTTTCTTTTCCTGCATATTAAAATTTCTCCAATATGTTTTCCTCCTATTTTTTCCTCTGGATAATCCCAAGTTTGTCCTCCCTTGTTTTAACCATTGCCATAGTAATGAAAAGACCGCTGTTTTATCAAAAAACTTATTTTAGCTTAGTGGAATTAATCACCATGGCTTCTTCTTTAAGTTCTGGGAGAAGGGAAGGAGAAAGAGAGAGTGAGTGACTCCAGAGAACAATTCAGAGTTCCTCTATCAGGACACCTGCACTGAATCACCTCCTGGAGAAATTTCTTTCTCTCCACTAACTACAGTGGAAGCCCAGGAAGACTTGGTTGGAAAACATTAGCCCTTATGAATCTTGAGTAGGTTCACAAGAGTCCTACAGCATCCAAACCTCCTACACTCTACAACTTCCACATATGTCTGGAGCTGCACTCAGCCATCTTCAGTCATTTGCTATTCTCCCCATGGCCAGAGATGGATAGCCTCTAGTGTTTGCAGTCCTACAAGTTCTCTTACAAGTCGGCATTTGCGCAACAACAAAGGCAGCAGATTGTCAGGCTTAGCTGGGATTTCAGTGTTTCTCTGAACTACAGAGGAACTGTTACCTATACTTAACAGTTCCTGCTTATAAAGTACTGAAATACCAGTCAGGGAGGAAAGGGCTGCTACAAAAATGCACAGGATAAAAGGAAAATGACCTTTCCGTGAAATACACTGACTAAAATGACAGGAACAGCATCCTGTCCTGCCTCAGACCATTTGTTGGACACTATTTGCAGTTGCAATGTGTGCTTACCATTTTCAATCAGGACTAAACTGGCCGAAACTAAAATAGTAGACAATCTGTAGTGCTATGTCCTTATCCACACTCCCTGTAAAACCCTGAAAATCTAAGGCAAAATTATACCAGAACTGCACTGTTTTGAAAACATCATGGCGAGCCTCTGCTAGTCAAACTTGCTGTTCTCTATATGATGGTACACAAATGAGCACTGTGACAGTAAAGAGATCTGGTCAATTCTTGCTACTGTCACTTGAGCTCACTGGGGGTTTAGGCCAAGAAGGCATCAATACATTTTAAAAATATGTATGTTCAAAACAGACTTGTATCTTGGTTGTTGATAGATTCATTTTCCTGGATATACTGGAGAATGTCCATTTCATTCATTGTCTGAATCCTGTTTTCCTTTGGCTTTGCCAGTGGAGATGAATTAGTGCTCCTGGGGGCAACTGTCGGCTTCTGAGGCAATGGTGGTCTTGATGGTACCTTAGGTTTTGGTTTGGAGGTTACTTTCAAGAGTTTCTCTAAATCATCTTCAACTCTGGAATGAGAAGAAAACATCAGTAACATTTTGGGAATTTGTGAACTGATTTTTGTTTTGTAAGAAAATGCATTCTTGCAAAATAAAACTTTCTGAAGGATCAACTTTGATGAACTTCTCTTTTAGGAAGAGCTTTCCATAAAAGTTTCAATGCTACCAAAATAAGAACTGTCTTTTTATAATGTGATTTTTCAGTTCACCATGCAAGTTAATTAATTTTACAGCATGTTTTCAAATGTCTAAATTAAAAGCAATTTGCAATTATCAAAATAAAAAGAACTTGATTTTACTTCAGGGAAAAAAAATGCTTTTGATCTGTGACAGGATGGTTTGCTTCCTCAAGAGCTCAGAAATTTTCACGGGATAATAACATTTTTCACATTCAGTTCTGCTTCCTCTTCATCCCCATCCCCCAAGACTGAGACTGAGCATCCCCCTTGCTCAATCATGAGAAACTGGAAAACCTAATGGCTTTAAAAATATTATATTCACATTTGCTTCCAAGAAACTGAAGGAGTTTTGCAATCTGTGAACGTATACAACGCTTTTTTAGTGACTATTTCGCTAGGAAAGAGTCCTATTTCCTAGTGAAATATCCCAAAACACCTGAAACAGTTAAGTATGTTTTCTACCTGGATTGTTTGACCTTATCAAAAGACACAGCATGCTGTGTGTGCCCAACTCTGTTCCCACCAAAGCTGTTAAAAGATTTTGAGAGAGCCCTTTTAACAGATAGTCTTGTGACGCCAAGAGGTAGCTGCCTTTGGAAAGTGAGTATGTGAAGGAAACGGAAAGAAGGCTATGACACATCACATCTCTAAAAGATATAGCAGAGACGGGAAAGTAGAAGTTAGCATAGCTAGAGAAATTTTTAAAGGCCACAGTAATTTCTGCTCTGAATCAAAATAGCCTCTTGTTTTGGTCCTCTGAGCACAACGGTCAAACAAAATACCATGAGGAGTAAACACAGCCGTTAATTTCCCAAAGGCTTGATTGATAAATAATTGTTAAGCAGTCAAAACCCAACCAGCAATCCATGCAGATCATCAGCTGTGTAATGACCACCTACAAAAGCGAAGCCCCTGATAAAATGCATACCTCATATATGCTTACAAAATACATGACTTCCAAAAGGCTCCACCCCTAACTGTAGCATACAAAATCAAGAAAGCTGAAGCATAAGAAGTGCAAGCAAAAACTTTTACATGGCAGACCAGGAGCCAAAGATCAAGAGGAACAGCAGGTTTGTAATATGTAGGTATCTCCCTGCCAAACCCCAGCTCTAGTGTGATACACTTACTCTACGACGGTAGCGTCTTAGGCAATGAAATGATTTAACTGTTTAATTGTTTACAAGCACTGATATAAGAACTGTTTTTACCAAACTTCAGTATCAACTGAATCAGCCCATTAGGCTGTAACAGTGCCAGCAGTAAAACTCCCTCTGCCTCAGCCAAAGCGTAGCCTGACAGGGAAGCTACAAATGAACTAGGAGACAAAATTAAGGTCCAGGTGTTATTCTAAAGAGACTGGAATTTTCTTCAGTGCTAAAATTCCTTTCAAATAGTTTTACTTAGTTCACTCTTAGAGGACTTGTAAGGATAAGAAAGTCTGGTCACGTGATTCTTAAACAAGAAAGAAGTTGACAGCACATATGCAGCCCACCCTCTCCCTCTGTCTCTGCTAGAGCACTACATCAAGAGGTGGCACAGTCCCTCCATCCAGGAGGATGGTTGGATGCTCTCTGTTGATCACAGCACACATAACCATCTCGTGGCAAATGGCAAGGAGCAAATGGAGACGTGACTAAGGGAACAGAGAACAGCTGTTTCTCTCTAGAAGGATTCTCTGAAGTTCCTCATTTGAGCCCCTGGTGACTGGAAGGGGTTTGTTGGAGTAGCTCTTCAGCAGCTCCACTCACTGGAACAGGATACCATACAGGGAGTCTAAGGAAGGTGCCTTTTTAGTCTGTTCTTCTACAGGCCCCATAGGTAGGCAGTCCCTGGAGCACAAATGAGTCTCACCTCATTTCATGTCAGGCATTTTTTGGTCCTTCCTCTCATTTGTCTTTTGTAATTTATATCTTCCTCACTGCCAGGCAATGAGGCCGTCTTGTGGGGGGTGTCATCCAGACCCCTGCTAACCCACTGGGATAACTTCTGTTGACTAAATGGGACTGTGATTTCTCCCTTTCTCTCTTTGTTCACTGGTAGCCTTAGGAGAGATGCTGTAAATGCCTCTACCACACAGCAGAACAATTGGTGGGGCCTTCTGCAGACAGTTAAAATAAAGTAGGCAGTTAAAGCAAAGCTGAGCTCTTTCATAATTTGGGAAGTGACTTATTTGGGTGACTGGCCAGGACCATGGGGAACATGATCAACAGAAGAATCAATGTATCTGAGACACTTTATTGCTCCATCCCTAGTGCACATTGTTTGAATGTTAAAACCACAGGTACTTAAGAGCTCCAGCACCCTCAGCTAAGGATCCCACTATTATTAAGAAAAATTGCATAATTTCAAGGGTTTCTTTTTATGTTTGCCCTTATTAAAAGCTGTGAGGAACTTATGACTGAACTGTCCAGGCTGAAACAAACGACATTCACCATGAATTGGCCATAAAGTGTACAAGGATTAGCCTGAATTTTCTGCCATATAGATGGTCAGAACCCTTTAAGATAAAACCATTCTTGAAGTCAGATCTTTTTGTGACTCCCAAAGGGAATCTAAAAAGGATCAGTTTTAACTAAGGCTAATCTTGTAAAATCAACTGCCTGAACACTAAACTAGGAAATATCTAAATACCTATCTGATGGACAGAGCTGGGCCACTGTCTCAGAGCTCTGCATCTTGAACTCTACCTTGTGGACTTTGTATTCCAGCAGGCAGCTCCTGTTGTTACCTCAAATTTCATGCCCCAGGTAATTCTGGAGATTATATTATCTTTTTTTTCAGATAATAAGGTTTCTAATGTCTCTTAGTTTCCGTGATTCCCTGTGGGTGACATATCCCACCTAACGTACAAAACACCTTGCCAGTGTATTCCTTCCTTCTGAATTCCTCATCTACATAGAAGAAATTAATTTAATTTAAGCCCAGGCATTTTTGTTCGCTGCAAACTCTGATATCCAAGAGATAGCACACCTGTGATCAGATTGCCAAAACATGTTCTTGTTCTCTTTGCTGTGTAATAAACAAAACATGTTAGGGCTGATATTTCTGAAGCCTAGCTTTCTTTAGCTGATATGATGCCTTCCTCCTTGGCATAAACAAATATTGAATGAATCAGTGTCTATGTCATAAAGTTTTGGTCATAAATAACAGAAACCATAATAACCAGATGAACAATACATACATATACATACAGATCAAGCATACAAGATACAGAGGAAGCACGATTTCGAACCAGGTGCACTGCCTGAGAACTAGGTGCACTGCCCAGCAGGGGCAGCAGTAAATACAGCTCATTAACCTGATCAGATGGTAGAGCTTCCTGAATTCCTACTCCTGTGTGGCTCTACATTAATTTCTGTGCTAACCACAGCAACAAAACCACTCAGCACAGTCATAAAACACCCCCAAAAGATGCAGTCCAGTAGGTTGTGGGGATTTTTTGGGGGATGGTGGTGGGGGTTTTTTTGATAGTGTGCTTTTAGGCCAAAAATTCTGCAGATGATGATTTTTCAAAGTCTGGAAGCTGATCATGTAAATCTCCTTTTTTTGTCCTGATTTTTTTAAAGACCTTGGTTAGACAGAAGTCTTTTACAGAGAACACAGCAGATAATACGTGGTCTTTATCTCAAAACCTGCTTTTCAGTGCTGCAGTGATAGACAAACTGTTTGGTCCACTGCCATTTGATCATGTGAGACACAACTGTTTTTGGAAAACTAAAGAGGTAAAATGCAAAACGCCTCAGGCAGAGACAGAAACCAGGACTTCTATTTCTTGAGAAGCAAATGAATTATTACAGTGCATAACTACCACCATATTTAACTCCAGGCCAGGAGGAGGAAGAAAAAAATCAAGCAACTATTCTGAAATAACAAGGAGATTAAAGGAAAAACCTTCCCACCCCAATCCTCCATCTTTTTATAGACAATCAGGCACAGAATCCATGTAATTAATCATTCTCTAATTAGTCTCTTTCTTTTTCTGTAATGGAAAAGCAGCCTCATTATTTAAAATTCCTGCCATACTGTTGTGCTGATTCACAGACTCTAGTGGTGGAAAATCTCTTTGTTTCCAGACACAGAAAGCAATCAAAACCTTTACTGAAGAAAAGCTGTCACAAAGCCCTATGATATGACTGCTAGCACGTGGACTTCCAAGAGAGTAAATGAGTTCTGACTTGGAGACAGAGCAGCTGCCGTCAAAACATCAACATTTTAGATGCCACTTCTCTGAACTCTGTCCTGTCTACCTGGACAAGATCTTTGGGATAGGAATGACTATGTGCATGTACGGCATCTAGCACGATGGGGACAGTGACCTCTGCTTGCTGGGAATGCTCTAATGAGGAGGAGAATCAGTAACGAAAGCAAGAGACAAATACTCCCATAATTTGCTAAAGTATCCAAAAGGATCATGCTTGAAGCTAGGTTATGCAACTCACAGCAGTTCTTGCAGAATAGAAAAGTGTCTTTATTTTGTCTGGTGTTAATTCCAAGTACGAGAGATACCTTAGTGAAACCTTGGGGAGAGATGTAGTATCACATATATGACTTGGGAAAAGACTTGTGCCCAAAAATAGGCAGGAGGCTTTGAAGTATCTGTTGACCATCACTTCTGCTATGGTCAGCAGAGACAGTGTGATGTCTAACAAGGCCCGTGGAAATTATACAGGCTGGAGTTAACCACAGGAGTGCAAAGCAAGGGAGCTGTGTAGGAAGTATCTCCCCTCCTGCTCCTGCTTTCCCCTGCAATCCATTACAGGTAAATTCATACTGGTACTTTAACCAGTGCCAGGAAATATGTCTGGACACTGGAACGTGAGAGTCCAT